TTCCATGAATTAGGAAATAATTTTATTTATTGAAAGTTGAAGTTGAAGGACATTCTTGGTACTTTCTGAAGTTCAAGGATGAATTAGTTCAAAAATAAAAGTTGAGGGACCAATTCAAGTATTTAACCTAGAAAATATATTAGCCACGTAAACATCACTATTTAATTAATCCTTAAATAAAAAAAGTTGAAAGTTGACATCCTTAAATAAAAAAAAGTTAAAAGTTAACATCTTTATTTACAAACTAACAAAATTAACATCCTTATTTAAAAACTATCAAAATTAACATTCTTAAATAAAAAAAATACAAAGTTGAAACCCACCTTTTTTTTTTTTTTGAATAATTTTATCATGAGGCGAGTTCGAAACCCACTAAAAAAAGAGAGGAGGATGTACAATTTTCAGTGGTTCTGACCACTGGACCACACGGCCAAGTGCAAGTTGAAATCCACCTTTACTCCATCTCATCGACTAAAAGTTGATAACGTATAGACAAAAGCATAGATAAAGTTGTAAACCAGTTTAATACTTTACTCATTATTGTCATTTCCAATAATTCAGAAATCCATCTTCTTTCCATCACCACCGTTGACCATTGCTCACAATTCATTCCACCCTACTATTTTCTCCTTCCATCTCAGGCCTCTCGAGACTAGATCGGTTAGAGATAAACACATGGAGATCAATCACTTTAGCCATCACCACCGTTTGGTGCTCCTGGATCCAGAAACGGGTACTGATCAAAGCCCAAAACATTATTGCTCTGGATGCGAGGAAGCTGCGGAGGGATCCACCTACAGCTGTCGCCAGTGTCGTTTTTTCCTCCACAAGAAATGTGCTGAGCTACCAGGTGAGATCAATCACCCCCTCCACCACCAACATTCTCTTGTTCTTTCTGTTATGCCCTATGGGCACTGCGGAGGTTTTATTTGCAACCTATGCCAGAGGAGTGCAGAGGGATTTGCTTACCACTGCTATTCTTGTCGGTTTGACCTTGACATTAGATGCGCTACCCATCCAAAACTTGTTGCTGGAGATTTTCAAACGCTTCAGCATTTTAGCCACGACCATCCATTGATCTTTGTTCAACATATTGATTTTGGAGACAAAGATCATGTTTGCTCCGGATGTAAGAGAAGCATGTCAAGTCCTTTCTACTGTTGTCCAGACTGCACATATTACCTTCACAAGAAATGTGCAGAGCTATCTCTTGAGATCACTCACCATACCCACCAAAAACACCCTCTTTTTCTCTTAGCCAAATTACCC